TAGGAAAAAGCACTAAATGTGGCTTTGAAGAAGTAGGGTTGGTGGGTCTTGCTGACTCAGCTGATTGTGTAACCTCACGTTCATAGGCAGATTCTGTCTCATGGGGAGGCTGTCAGATCTAAGCTCTGTCCTAAACCTTTGACAGAAATGTCCAAAACCTTTGATAGAAAGGTCCCTTAGGGCCTTGGTTTTGTTTGGTTTTGTCTGAAAGGGAATTTGCACATGAGTATGAGGAAAAGTAGTTTTCAGCATTTACAATCCTTGGAGAGTAGAATATAAAAGCAATTTGTCAGGCATGGTAGGATGGAGATTACAGATGTTCAGCTTCTTGGGAATCCAGGAGGTTTTTTCAAATTTATGTCCTGCCTCACCTGCAAACCCTGCTGCAGCCCACAGAGACTGCAGGACTCAGCATGCACTTTCTGAAATACCCTCTCATCTCTGTCGTCTGTGCCTCAGGGTGGATGATGAAGGTGACTTGAAGGTACCTTGTAGGATTCTGGGAGAAGTGCTTAGCACACTCACCGTACTTTGACCACCCTCATTCCAAGTTCATCACACAACTTGTTCGACGTGTTTACTTTTTAAACACTTAGAGAACTAACAGGCAGTTGCATGACTGAGATGTTTGTTTTAACAGGCTGAAAAGTGGGAGATAATTTAGACATGCATTATGATGCAATAGGAACATACCTAATTATTCCATTTTTGGCTCAGCTTTGGTTTCAGTTAAAACTGCTGATAGCAAAGCTCAACATGTTTTACAGAGCAGTGGCTATAACACTGCCTACATGCAAAGCTGGTTCACCAGTACTTACGGTCTTATCTTAGTTGCTTTTAAATGAACCCTTCTCCATGACTTTAGTTGTAGGATTTACTAAAGGATCTCTTCTCAGACTGCTGTGGTCAGCAGTTACAGAGTGAATCTATAAGGCTATGAGGATCATATTTATTTCAAATGGCCTGGAAACCAACTTGCAGTGTTAGGTATGTGTTCATAGAAGGCACTGAAAGTGAAAACCTTGGAAACACAGCAGTTAAATTCTTGTGCCTGGTATGACTATCCTGGTGTGTCAGGATATAACTTACGGTTCAGCTGTCTTCACTGAGCGAGTAGAAGGATCAGGACTTTTGCAAGATAGTTAAATTGTTCATTTGATTTTAGGTTAAAGAACTATTTACTCAAGTAGATATGGTCAAAGATACAGAGTCTAGAAGTATAGGTCAGGGGTAACTATTTTCTATAAAAAGGGACAGGAGCAGATGGTAAGGTAGTGTTTGAATAATGTCTGAAGGTTATATGGTCTCTGTTGTACCTTCTCAGAGCTGCTGCCATAACAAGAAAGCAGTCAAATAATAACATAAATGAATGAGCATGGTTGTGTCTCAATAACACTTTATTTACAAAAATAGGAATTGGCCTAGATCAGCCATAATTTGCCAGCTCTTGTTCTAGATTCCAGAACATGCACCACTGGGCCTCTAACTTCAGAGGAACAGTCGCAATAATTTTCAGAAAACTGGATAGATATATGTAGGCTTCTTAGCCAGGACTTTCCTGTATTTGGATATAACAAATTTGTTTTCAGAAAAAGGCTTTGGTTTCCATCAGGCTTCATCGGGGTCTAATCTGCATATTTACTTATGCCTCATATCCTTCCCTCCCAAATTATCAGAAGTAGCTTCTGAGAAAAGGCATATATAGTGCTGAGGGTATCAATTTGTGGTAGAACACATGCCTGTAATATGCAAGGTCCAGTATTCAGTCTCAGAGAGAAAGAAAGGAAAGAAAGGGAAAAAAGAGAACAGAAAACTAAAAAAAAAAAAAAAAAAAAAAAAACTTAAGATTTAGCTGTCAAAATAGACATCAAATCGAAACCTACCTAACAAAGTTCATACAAAGCAAGTTCTGAGCATGCCTTATTTATCTGCCAATTCAAGCTCATAGTTCAACCATTTCTGAAATTGATGAATTCTTGGGACACTTTCTAAGTTGAATATTGATTTGCTGCCTAAAATTTCATCTTCTCTAGCATAAATTCTTTATGAAAAAAAAGTTCTCCAGTGTGTTATGTCAAGTCTCCTACAAAAGGAAATGTTAGCATTCATCATTTTTCTTCTGATTGAAGTGTAAGCCAACTCAGTGGGAGTAGGCAAAGGAAAGAGATAATTATAAGCTAATGAAAATTTTGATGGTCAAATGACTTATTCAAAACAGAACTCAAGGTTTACAAGACTAAAGTTTCATTAGCCAAGGAAACTATTTCCAGTCATTTTAAAGATGCATCTTTGCTTTTCAGAGAAAAGCAGAGTTAAATTATTTTATATTTAGATGGTCAGAAGCACCAGTCACAGGAGAACGGAAGAAGTAGGAATTTCAGCTGAACCACAGAAAAGGATGACTTTCAGTCAGAGGCTCACAACGTGGCTCTTAGCAGGACTAAGAGTTGATAGACTTTCAATGGGATTGGGACTCCAAGATAGTTCTAAAATAGAGAAAATGGTCATTGAAAAACACTGCAGTTGTATACAAGTAACTTTAACACAGACTCCTAATTATCAAATCCAACTGCCTAGCTAAGCAGGTGCAGAATATTATATAAACCTGAGGCAGGGGGTCCCTTCAGATCTCTGGCATTGGGCAGAAAATGATGGACATATCCTTAAGGACATTGGAGTGGGTAAGATGTGCTCCCTTGGGCCACATGGATACCGGGCAAAGATTCACTCACTAGTGAAGACTGAAGAAGCCCAGTAGTTCCAAAACAAAGATGAGAATAATGTTAAGAACAAACCAACCACTTGCGTGACAGAATTTTAAGATGAAATACTGGGCTATTCCCATGATGGACAAGAAATAATTGTAATAAATAAATTCTATCATCAGCTGCTGAGAAAATATTCTTTATCTGTACTAAAACTGTTTCATCTGTTCTGTAACTTTAGAAATGTACTAACCTCTAAATGGAAGAGAAATTTCCTAAGAATTTACAATTTATGGTGCAGTTCCTTCTCCCCTTCATGCTGGGTGAGAGGGAAGATTGAAATAGTGTCCATCTTTTGAGGTAATAAGTGTACTCACTGTTTGATCATGCACCTGTACTTCCATGATTCATCTTTTAAAGCAGTATAGACTCTGAAGCTGGCAAGTGTATTTATGCAAAGACTCATTATATTAAAAAATCAAAATGAATCATAGAAGTTTGAATTTCTAAACTTTTAGACTTGAAAACTTTTAGTAAAGACTTACTAGATCTGTTTACACAAGCATGAAATTTGTCAAGGATAAAGTATAAAGTGGCAAAAAGTAAATTTTCAAACAATGTATATAGAATTGTCTCCCCTCCATTAAGGGAACCTTTCATTGATTCAGATAAAAGTCAGGACTTAGTGATATTCAGCTCTGCTAGCATCCCTAAAACCACCAGTGGACACCAGTTTCATGCTGGACACCACTGGTCACAACTGCAGTTTCACACGGACTTATTCTACACAGCATCAGTCAACTCTGATGGGTGCTGCTCTTGGCTGCTGATCTTCATTGGTTGTTGGGCTCTGGAGCTCTTCAGGGATAATAGTGCCTAGTATTTATTGATCTTTCATTCAGAGGGCCTCTCTGTAAGAATGCCGAGTAGATTTAGAGTATCTTCCAAGCCCATGCTACCTGAGAAATGTATCATGAGCAGATTGTCTAGACCATTGGAGCAAATCTTTATTCTAGCAAGATCTGTGCAGCTGCACAGTAAGAGGGAGTTCTCCTAGGCCAACCCACGACATGCAACAGGATGCAGGGCTTACATATAGCTACTACAGGCCAGTGATTGGTCCATTAGTAGCCCTGTGATTGATTCAGATTCAGGCCTTGATTGATCCAAGTGCAGGCCTGTGATTGATCCATGCAGATTCCAGGTGTCCAAGATAGCCCCAGCTGTTATGGCAAAAGTGCTTCAAACAAATATCAGAGAAAAGAAACCAGCTATTGATTGAAAGCTATTAAGTCTTCATGAAAAATGGCAGGCCTGAAACCAGGGCATGTTTACCCTGCCTAAGTGTTCCTCACAGTTTATTAGGGCTTGGGAGGATCAAGATGTTATGATGGGCCTAGATCCCTCTCCGGTCTCTGACCCATTATGGATTGTTTCCCATTGTTCCTTCAAAGAGGTAGCAGCTTCCGGAGCTGCCAGAGTATGAGAGGAGTGCACAGCTACGGCTGAGCTACACCTCCTGTCAGAATAGCCCAGAGAGCAGCCATGAAGCAACCTGGGAGGGCACCGACGCAAACTGTTTTATTCCATCCTTGGATGAGGGACAGCCAGAGCAAAAGAAGCAGAGATGGGGGTAGTGGCGACCCTTGGTCAAACAGTGCTCCTTCTGTCATAGGAAAAAAGCAGGGGAGTCAGGCGCTTTACATTTGTCTCAGAATAACACTTTTCTTTTAAAGTAATACTCAGTTGTATGCGTGTGTGTGCCTAGAAGATTTGGAACCATACGCAGAATTGTTCATTCTGTTTGTCAACCAAGTTGTTTGCAAACAGAAGCATTGTGAACCAAGGTACCACTGTACTCCTCCGCCTTGTTTTGAACACATTTGTCTCAACATTCTTGCCACTTTCTGAAGCACTTCTGGAAGTCCTCTTTCCTGAATGTCTTTAGGTGCGCTATTTTGACTACCCCAGTGTCCTGAATTGATTCAAAACATTTGCCTTCCTGGTCATTTTATCTTTGGCAAAGATCCAGAAGCCACACAGTCCCAGACTTGGTAAATAAGGTGGTGATATTTTCACAAGCCTGTCTTTCTGTCTGGTGGCACTTAGCAGCAGCAGTCACTGTATTTTTATTATGCCTGTGTTTGATTCTAAGTGTATTTGAAGTGAGAGAATTTTGAGGGGGATTAACGACAATGTGTCTTTTACTGTAATCACTTTTTAAATTTAGACATTCTCTGTAGTGTTTGGTTACATATCAGCTATCAACTCAATGCTTGTGTTTTATTTCCACAGAAAAAGCAAAGGACAAAAGATCTGTCTCAGATATTTCATTCTTACAATCCATATGATCACAAGGTAAGAGAAGTGTTTTATTCATTATTGGGTCTTAACAATTTATGACTATAATTAGTGTTTTCATTACAAAACCTTCCAGGACTAGTATTTAGTTAGATGTCTTCTAAGCTAATGTCCTGCATGTATAGCAATTTTAATCAATATGAGATGATTTTGAAGTACATTTATCAGTTAACTTATATTTCAGTTTTAATTTTTCAACCCTCAAAAACAGAAAATTTGTATTTATAAAGTGGTTATATTTCATTAACATTGAAATCTAGTTTTGGAGGGCTCAGGTTTTAGCTATAGGGCAGAGGGCTGGCCTAGTTAGTATGTGTGAGCCCCTATGTTCTATCCCTGGTACCTCCAAAAAAAAGTTACATACTGTAACTAAAAGCTCAAGACTTCAGGATGATTGTTGTTGTTAAAGTTGTTGTTTCGAATTGCTTTTGTTTTTTCTTTTCAAACACTGTAATTAGTAAACTAGTTTTTTGGATTGGTAAGCACAGTTGAAATGTTGACTGCACATCTTCATTCTTTTGCTCTAATAGTTATTTTGCTGAATAAATAATTCTTATAGAAAACAGTACATAGCGTTATATCTGAAATATTAACTAGGAAGGGTTTCACTGAACAGAAGACAGTATAATAGCTCTTCTGGGCCCATTCTACTGCTTTGTAAAAATTCAGCCATCCTTGTTTTATTTTATATCCCAAATTCTCCATCACACATATTTGAAAAATTCTCAGGCCTATCTTCAGTTGTAGATATTTCAGCATAGATATGTAATGCTTCTATAAAAAGAAACACGTTTAGAGCCATTTTTAAGAAATACTTAACATTTCCCCATCTTCATGGGAAAATAGATTTCAAGATTTCTGAAACTTATGTAAAATTTCTATGCCATGTGAAGTTCCAATAAATCTGTTAATTCGAAGTGATTTCAGAAGCAAACAAAAAATTTGCACAGTTGAAATGCTAACATAAACTTAAATCTTTATCTGTGAATTTACAGGCAGACATGTGGTGGGGATTTTTTAACTAGCCAAAATAACTAGTGCGAAAACTACTTTCCTCAGCTGAGAATACAGAGCTGTCTGGATTCAAGGAGGGGGGAATGGTGCTAGTTGTTCATGGAAGTTACGGAATTTGAATAGTTTGTGTTTCTAAGATAACCAATTGACTGAATCACCGAAAGATTTGTAAGAGTTATTTATTCTCCTTGTGATCATTTATGTTCCATGTGATATGAAATACTGCACTAAAAATTATTTCAAGTTAGTTTTTCAAGCTAAATCACTCACTTTCCAGAATAGAGAAACTAGAAAGAAATTGAGAGAGCCAGGAGTGCCCCACAATGCTGAGGGAAGGTGCTTGTTGATAAGTAGCATGCAGGAAAAGGAATTAGATTGGCCAGATTTCCGTGGGAATATTATACTTTTCTTAAATGAAGCAATGTAATTAGCGTAAGTGCAGTAGTGGCTAAAGCTAACAACAAAAAAATATGACAAATCTAAGATTTTGCCTGGCTTGTCGAAATTTGCTCACTTCTAGCAAATTTTAAAATTCACAAGTCAAGGGAAATTCCATTATTCTTTTATTAGAGCTCTTAATGGAACCTAGCCCATTTGCACCTCCTACCAGCTTCCTCTTCATATCCTCATGGCACTGTATCAAAGTCACCTCAGATTACTTTGGCTTCTCTTGTGAAGATTTCATCCCCCTACAAATTAGTCATTAGGCAATGAAGAATTGAATATAAATGCTAGACGGAGTTCCTTTTGATCTTTGCTTTAAGATGAGTAATAAATTACTGTAAGTAGCTAGTCTGCTTGATGAGTGATTTTTGAAGCTCCTAAGGTTGGTCCATTGGCTTTCTGTTTTATTCTGCATATGCATAGTGAAAGGGGAAGCCGTCTTTCTAGGCAGTTCCTGGACCCTTCGTATCCTCCTCCCATTTTTCTCAGCTGCATCCAGGAAAATTTAACCAAGTTACTTTCAATTTTGTCTCTTATTGATTGGGAATGTGCAAAAGATTAACACACAGGGATAAAGTAATAGGCACTGTGTTCTGGATTTAGAACACTAACCTCCCTCCCCATAATTAAATAATAGAGGGTTATGTTTCAAGTTACTTTGTTATTTTAGTCACCCACTTATAGTCCAGCAAATTAGTTTTCTAGGCAGACAGGTCTTAGTGTAAAAAGTTTTACAAACTCTAGCTAAAATTGGTTTAAACAACTCATACTCAATGAGATTTCTGGAGTAAACTTTAGAAGAATATACACATACATTGTAAGTGAAAGCTTACATAAAATAAAATATAAGCTGTCTGGGATTTTCCTTCAAAAAAATTCAAAGAGGAGAATGCAGAGAGTACAGTAAAGTAAGATGAAGCATGTGTTGATGTCATTGAAACTGAGTGATGGGTTTGTGGGGTCCATTCCTTTGTATATTTTTATATATGATTGAGAATTGTCAGACTGGGGAATTTAGCTCAGCGGCATAAGCACCTGCCTGGCAAGCACAAGACCATGAAATGAGTTCGATCCAGGGTCATGAGTTGAATCCCCAGTACCAAAAAAAAAGAAAATGGCCATACTAAAAAGATGCAAAACGAAGATAAGCTATGGCTGTTGCTAGGGATAAATTTTCTGATACTCTTTTCTTCTCTGGCTAAATTCTTTTTAGTGTTAGTTTTCGCCTTGACCTACATCTATGCCAAAGGAGGCACGCTCAGCATTTCTGTGGGTTAATTATGCTGAGCAAACGCAGCAATGAAATTCCTGTTGTAATGCTGGCATAATTTCTGGGATTTCATCCCAAATTATAGTGGTCACTTAAACAAGAGCCTTGCCCACTGCAACCTGTTAAAACAGTGGGAATTCCAAAGAGCAGTTGTACAACTGTTTTGTTCACAGTGAGTTGATTATATTTAGTCTTTCCTCCTCCTCAACAAAGATTGCTCCTGCCTGACCCCAGACACAGGAAAGTCACCAGGTTAAGCAAACGTGTTGTTTGAGTGAGGCCAGGTGCATTTCTTAATCATACCCTGAAGCCATTGTTTAGGTTGTAAATGGTCAGTTGGGTTTCTCTTAAATGCTGTTGCAAAAAGCAAATAAAGCTCCAAGCAAAGTGTGCACCCAAAATTAGTCATAGGAAATACTTTATTTGTTACACTAAAAAATGTTGCTTGAAACTGGAAAATTTCACTTGGGACTGTTGAGTCTAGTTCCATGAGCATTTTCTAAAAGTTGTTTGCAGAAATTCTTATAATTTTTTTAAAAATTAAAAGGACTTATATAAAAAGGCTTTAAGAGATATAGACTTGACCAAAGTTAATTCCTATTGATCTGCCCTAATAAAAGGAAATATATAAAATTAACCTAAAATAGCTGGTAAACTGATTGTATTATATGCAGTTCTGTCATTTTAATAAATAATAAACATAGCTTGTATTTTCTGAAAACATACCACACTGACCACCAGGGAAGGTTACAAGGCCAGAGACCTTTTAGGTCATAGAATGTCAGCCCGAGTTTGAGTGTTCCCTTTGGATAAGTAACAGATAAATTGGTGCAGCTATAATTAGAACATTTGTATTAAAACCAGGCAAATTGTCGTGTGTGGCATGTCCTTGACCTAAAGAAAATATAATTACACGTATAAAAGTGGTATCTTTTTCTTTTTTCTTCTTAGATTTTATAAGTTATATGTTCAGAACAAAATCTAGGTTTATTAGCTAATCACAGATACTCATAATCTGCCAATGTAAAAACTTATAAAAAGTGAAAATGTTTGGAAGGAAAAAGTTAGAAGATTCTGTTTAGAACTATAACAGTTTTAACATTTGCAAAGTTAAGTTCCTCAGCACAGTTAATCTGAGTAAATTAATATCTATTCTACCATTAAAAATGAGTCTTTAACAACTTGTCGCTATTATAATGTCTATATTTTGTAAAAGGAACTTCTCATTTCTTTAGTAACTTGTTATATTAATAATATAGACATAAATTACTTGAGAAGAAATGTTGTGTAGCCCATGTTGATAAAGTGGGCTTTTTCTTCTTTAGGTGAATACAATTACTCTTATTATGTTTATACATGCATAGACATGTCAGCTGAACTGTAAACAAATTGTAATGTGTAAACTAACGCTATGGTGGACCCACTTAATAAGTTTGCCCATGAATTGAAAGAAAACAGACTTAAGTGTTGCACTCAGCCAGTGATCCTTTGTGCAACAATCTGGACACTCTAAAAACACTGCTGAAGACTTTGCGGGAAAGCCAACTGGACCCAACTGTTCAAATGACTAACTCCCATCCCCATGCTCCAGTGCCTCATTACCAGCAGTCCATTCTTTTGTTTAAATCAGGTTTCACAAACAGAGATGGCGGGCTGCCCAAACCACAGTCAACTGCAACAGCAGTTTTAAAAAGGTGGTTATTGCTTCAAGAATTCAGAGCTCCAGCAAGAAGTGACAGCAAACCAAATGAAAGCAAGGCCAGGCTGTAAAACCTAAAGGGCATTAACAAGGAACTCTAAACGTGCAGCTGCCCAAGGCCAGTTAATTTAGAACCCCAAAACCCAGATCCCCCAATACATTTTAGTGGTCCTGGGGTAAAATAATTGGGATTAATTTACATCAAGAAACAGATGTTGTAGAGATGTATATATCCTATTTGAAAACATTGGTATTTTAGGAATGAACTGTACTTATCTGGAGAACTCTTAGCAACAGCTGGTTATTCTTAATAAGGTCTGGGAAAATGAAGTGTTGCTGTAGAGAATTGTTGGATAAAACATAGAAGATGATTTAACATGTGTGAATAGTCAGGTAGTGGACAGCAGATGTGTGTGAGCAGAAGAACCAGCATTACCCAAACTCCTTGTTTACAATTTAGTGTAAAAATATAAAGGTCTTTGATGATTATTATATTTTTATCTTAAGGAAAGCCTTCTCTAGACCTAGAGAATAATTCCTAATTATTCTCTAGGTCTAGGGGAATAGTAG